TAGAAATTTACCAAAATATCGTCATTGTTTTAAATCTATTTTGATGACCATTCCTGACCTAAAATCGCACGAGAAATCGATTAAACTTGGTTTCAGAACTCAACAATGCTTCCTTATGCCTCAAAATCCATGTTTTATCGATACAATCAACATATCGATCCTGTAGTTCAACTTATTACTTAAAGGGTTCAAGTATAGTTACGCGGTAGACAAACTAAAACAAAATTGTAGGTTTATAACCTACCAGGACGTGTGCCGAGTTAAGCTCGAGTCGAAGGTAATATTTGGAACAAATATTTTACGAGTATCACCCGTTAAATAAACTTATATGTATAAAAACCTTGTGTTATGTGGCAGTTGTATTGCAATTTGTGCAATTTCAGTTGGGCAGCTTTTTTAAAGTGTCTGGTATTTCAATTTTCGTAAACCTACTACCTGGGAATGTAATGAAATAAAAAGGTGACCATCTTTGGTTATTACTAGCACTTTGCAAATCCAGCAGATCTACTTTCGTAAAATATTTTGTTAACGATTTCTAATATAATTCAAGTTGCGCTGGTGAGGCTAAATGCTAAAAGTGAGTCGGCGATTGGTACAGTATAAATGGAAAAGACAACTACTTTTTATATTAATATAATGTTTTGTTTTATAAGGTTATTTATGAATTTATTCGAGAAATAATCTGGAAGTATTATCGGCATCTTTTCACACATATATATTATATGACTACGAGCACATACAAGTGGCCAATAAGCTGTACACAGCAGGGTTTATAGCGTAATAATCGATCTTTTAGCTATTTCGGACACCCTGAATCAGTCATTCTCGCTAAACTAGGTATTTATTTAACACCATAACACAGCCTTTAAATGATGTTTCATAATGTGTCCTACGTAGCACTTTATCAGTTTAAGTAATTGGGATATATTATTCATTTCTATAAAATCTTTTAAATTTGATTGAATGATGAATTTCAGCCGATGATGAACAAGATGTGCGGAGGGAGGGTGTGGCCGATTGTCTGAAAATCCTTGACTGGGAGGAGAAGGTGCCACCCTCCCGACGTGTGAGGGTTTTTTACAAGCCAGATTTGGACATGACCGCAAGGAAGTCCACTGAGCTCCCCATCTACAAGGAGGATTCTTGTGGATGGTGGTTTAAAACGGGAGTCGGTAATAATTATTATTATCAAAGATACTTTTTTCCATAATATGTGTCATATGTTAACGATCAGCTTAATCAATCATTCATTCGACATATTATTATACTACTACTAGAACTAACGTGTTCGAGTTAGGTTATAGTTTCTTCAGGCTCAGTACATGATGTAAATAAAAAATAACACAATTATCCTCAGCAAAGAAGGAGTATGCTCGGGTAACCCTACCCCCCTTGCTACGTGGTCTGACGAGAGCCGCTATTATATCATTTATAAGAATGCCTCTCAAAACAGCATTTGTTAACAACAACCAAGCTGTTGAGAGGCAAGTGGCGCTTATGTCAACCTGTGGTAAGAAGGTGGTAGGGGAGGATAGGAAATCTGGGCAACAAATTGCTGTCGCAGAGCACAGACAGCAAACGAAAAAGCAGAAGAAGTGAAGGTACAATAAATCAGATATATTGTATTTCCTAAGTGGCTCACAAGTAGGAGCTCATCCATTATTTCTTGTATTGTCACAAAAAACGTCTGTAGCTTAACTTAATTTCAGATCACATCATTATAATGGATTATAAATAATGCTAAACATTAGCCATATTAAGTGAAGAGTATTATGTAGGCTTTTAACAACCATATAATGCTTTATATCCCACACCCAAGTAACAGAAATGCAATTGATTTTAACCTGTCGACAATATTTCAGAAAAGATTCCCGCAAGCAAGCATGTTCCTTCGTTCTGCTCTGATCTCTACTCTGTTACTAACTGATGATGGACTTTGATACGATTCGTTGATATGATTTTTTGACGTATTGTATACAGCTAACACTTAACCATATGGTTCAGACAAAAGGACAATTAAACTGGTGTTTTGTTTTTAACGGGTGATACTCGTAAAATATTTGTTCCAAATATTACCTTCGACTCGAGCTTAACTCGGCACACGTCCTGGTAGGTTATAAACCTACAATTTTGTTTTAGTTTGTCTACCGCGTAACTATACTTGAACCCTTTAAGTAATAAGTTGAACTACAGGATCGATATGTTGATTGTATCGATAAAACATGGATTTTGAGGCATAAGGAAGCATTGTTGAGTTCTGAAACCAAGTTTAATCGATTTCTCGTGCGATTTTAGGTCGGGAATGGTCATCAAAATAGATTTAAAACAATGACGATATTTTGGTAAATTTCTAGCTTTTTGCCAGAAAATAAATTGTCGGTTTCTATAGGGGTTTAATTAGGTATAAACTACAGTACAGCTATACTTACACCCACATTCACATGCATGCAAGCTCACCTGGTCCAATGAGCGGGAAACGGAGAGGAAGGTCTGGTGACGTCATAGTCACGTGACCTCAGGCTCATAATCACGTGACCTCAGGCCCAATCAATTGGGTTCTGGCCTGGTCAGCCCCCTGTCACCCGATCTTGATGTGACGTACGACACCTCGTTAACCCAATCAATGTCTGGAGCGCTGCAAATTTTCACATGCCAAATCCACAAGATTCTTAAAGAGTTGTGCGAGATGACGACACATAGAGGCCGCAGAATTATGAGGACTACCAGATCCTGGTGGAACCTAAGCGATCCATGATATCACGACAGGCCCTACCTTCTCAGCTCCCCGTCCGAGACTTTGTCCGAGAAGAGGGCGATAAGTATCAACTCTTCGGTACCACGTGCGGCGTTGTAGTATCGCACTTTTCTTCTTCACTACTTTTTTGGACCGCTTTCCAGGAACTTTTCTGAACTTCTGAAGAGATGAAAAGAGCTTGAGATCATTCACTGCTGCATCTTCGGGGGATGGGGAAAGAAACCAGAACTCCATGTAGCAGAAGACAATCCAGGGGGCTAAGAGGCGGACTTTCTCCTTCTTCTGCCAGGACAGTCGGGTAAGTTGGTGACCAATCAGCGACAGCTTTAGGATATATATCGCATCAAAATTAATCTGACAAATATCAGCACACTTAAAATCATCCTTGATCTACTTCGCTGCAACAGCTTGTGGTTCTTGCCTATACCTCCGTGCAGTTGACTTCGATAGGGCTACATCGTCTATGTCTCCACCACAGTGCTTGATGATAGTGGCTAGTGTAGCGACGAGGGTGTTGTTCCTTTGGTAAAATTAACCACCCTAGTGGACCCAGCGTTTGTTATGAACGCTTGTCGGAGTGTAAAAAGCGGTGCTGCAAGGTGATTGCAGCTGGGGACGACAATTTGAACATCTTAATTGAAATTAATGGATTTTTTTGTGTGGGAATTTTGATTAGTAGATTTCATTTCAGAAAGGTGTAGGCTTCCTTCACCGTTCTAGGGTGTCTTCTGTCCAGTACAGCTTCCCTCATTTGTCCGTAGAGTGCGAGGCAGGAATCCGGAAGGGACGTCCGGCTGTAGGGGGCGTGACCCCGGCGAGGTGGGCTGGCTGGAAGTGGTCGGTGGAGAGGACTTCTTGACCGTTGATAGGTAGGAGGATTAGGCGTCCTTCGCGGCTGAGACAGGGCAGGACCTGCTCCTCTGGATAGAGTTCTGTCAGAATTCGGATTCAAAGATGGTAGGCATTAGGTGGAGTTGGGGAAAGTGGAGGATTCTGACGTGTTTGGGGACTTGTTGGCTGAAGATTTCGGTTTTTCAGATCTTGGAAAATTCGGTTAGCCAAAAAACGGCCGGTTAACCGGGTTTTCGGTTTCGGTTCGGTTAATCGATCGTTTCCTAGTAAAGTGGGAGCAAGTGAAGCAGTCGTCTATTTTCATTTTTAAGCGCATGTACTTAGATGTTAGACGTGGCTATAATCTTGAATATTTCAAACTGTTAATTGTACTTAGACGTGGCCATAATCTGTTGCTTGAACTAAGACATAACCGTAAATATTTCATTATGATGCTTGTACTCAAACGTGGCTATCTAAATATTTCATACTGTTGCAACAAAGCTCTTTTTGTTAATATAAGAATTAAGAACCTTTTTAACTGCCTTTAGAGCTTTCTGTTTGTCAGGAAATGCTTGATCTCTAAAATTGAGACCTTTCTTGAGAAGAGTTCCAAGATCGCTGTTTTCAATAATGTTCAAATGTCCAGTCACGACATGTTGATGATAATTATCCTTGAATTGACTACTTTCACAATCACAAAAAAGCTGCTCATGATCTAAGTTAGCTTCATGCGTTTGACGATAGTTGACTATCTTCGAACGAATATTAGCTGGGTACTTGTAGGATACAGTAGGGGTAGCCGCTGTACCTCCAAGTGGGCAACTTCTTACAATATAGAATAAAAAAATATCTTAATAACGAGTTTTAGGCTTCAGGGCGTTTCCTTGAGCATAGAGGCGTGTTAGGTCTCTATGTTTTATTTTGCAGATATCTTTTGCCGCTGGGTATACGGTTTGGAGCGTTACTTTACGTAGCTGCAGTAATCGCACTATATAGTGACAACACTATATAGTGACAAGCACTTTATAATGACAGCTGATCTTAGTCATTATATAGTGTGCAAAACGAACTATATAGTGACAACACTATATAGTGACAAGCACTTTATAATGACAGCTGATCTTAGTCATTATATAGTGTGCAAAACGCACTATATAATGACAACACTATATAGTGACAAGTTTATCTTATATCGACTTTTCCTTACTTTTCTTTAAGTCTACTTTTAGAATACTACTAAAGCAAATAATTGTATTTAAGTCAAATGTTTTTAGAGCGATGGACCAGGATCTCTGCTCTTTGTGGTTCGGAGAGTTCTTTACTGTCTGTTCATGAAGCACCAGTCGAGCCAGACAGCCAGGAACAACACAGGTCCAGTAGGTGACTCCATCAGTTCCGTTCCTCTTTCTGTTTAAGGTGTACCGTTGACCATCCACGAGAGAGATTTCCCGTTGATGGTCAAGTTGAGTACTGTTCTGTATTCCACCAAAACTCCGTCAATGGTAATGTTCCTCACTCGTGTCCGACGAGCTGCTGGAGGAGCGGTTGCTGGAGCTGCAGGAGGAGGGGTTGCTGGAGCTGCGGGAGGAAGGGTTGCTGGAGCTGCGGGAGGAGGGGTCGCTGGAGCTGCGGGAGGAAGGGTTGCTGGAGCTGCGGGAGGAAGGGTTGCTGGAGCTGCGGGAGGAGGGGTTGCTGGAGCTGCGGGAGGAGGGGTTGCTGGCGCTGCGGGAGGAGGGGTTGCTGGAGCTGCGGGAGGAGGGGTCGCTGGAGCTGCGGGAGGAGGGGTTGCTGGAGCTGCTGGAGGAGGGGTCGCTGGAGCTGCGGGAATATTTTATTATTTAAATAAGATTGAAGACCCAGTCTACGTCTTTCACAATGACTAAAATTCTCGAAAGAAAATTTGTTTTTTTTACTTGGTAGTTGGTGGTGAACGAATAGTTCTTCGTGATCAGTAGACTCTTCTACGATTTTTGGTACAAAATGTTCCTCTAACAGTGACAGGACTTAAGGTATTGGGAAAATCAAACTCTCGTCCTTAACGGCTTTTATATTAACATCTTATAAATAAACATATAATCTTCAGCTTAAAGACAAAAAGAAAGTAAGATTTAAGAAATTAAATGTTGCTCACCTTCCTCGCTCCGGGGCATGAGAGGTGTGCTAGATGAGCACGGTAAGTCTTCCTCCTCTAAGATAAGAGTAATAGGTCTTTCAGTGTTACATTAACATCTCTCTTCCGTTTCATAATAACATTTACTACGCGATACATAATTTTTGAATATTATCTCGCATATTATCATTTTTAGTTCAAATTTCCGTACAAACATTTTAGTCGTAAAAAGTGCGAAATTAGAAATTTGGGCCAGAAATTTGGGCCAGTGGCAGCAGTATCTGCCAATTCTAAATCGTATTTTTGTAACAAACCGAATTATACCTTGATACTTTAATCCTATTTCAAATCCGAACCACCTCTCTAACACCCCAGATTCTCAGAAGTGAAGTGGGACCCCCTTTCTCCTCCTACTGGCAGAAGATACCATCTCGGCACAACACCGTGTATTTTAATTAAATTCAGCGTACTCGTTGATCATGTTCTAACATTTGTATAGACAGTAAAACAATGCGTAGAATTTTTGTAAAGTAAACAAAAATATATATATTATTATATATCTTCTTTATTATGAAAAACGGTATTTCTCTTGTTCAAAACCAATAAAACCCCTCTTTAAATGATAAAATTTAACATGCAATATAATAATAAATAACACATGCAATATACTAATTTACAACAATATAAATATCTTAAAAAGTCCACCCGCCGTTAAAAGATATCGATTGCAGAGATGATCCACATCCCTGCAAAACTTTTCGTATGGTTGCTCTCTCTATCCCCGTACAGTTCGTCAGTTCTATGGTTGTCAGGGGAGCTCCTATCAGGAACTCTCCTGCTGCCGTGTCGTTGTCAATGAGTTCCACAACTGTCAGATTGGGAAGACGTTTGGTTACGGAGGATAACCACCATTCAGGTATGGCTCCTCTACAACGCAGTTCTGTTGCGTTTGTGGGTAACCTGATGAAACTGTTAAGTCTCTGATTCCTCGCATCACCAGTAAAGGTAATGTCCAGTTTCTTCACTTGTCGACATTCTGCTAACAGTAGCAGCACTGCATTCATGTTACTCGATGTTAACTCCAGAACCTCTATACGGTCCATTGCCGTTCTCCTCCACATATTGCTAACACCCATAATGGGCAGCAGGTCTTCATCACAAAGGTACCCGAGGATATGGTACAGAAGATCGTAAGAAATAAACATTTTTGAATTGAAGGCTATGGACAAATAAACAGGGATATCGGTAAATATGACGGAAGGTTTTTATACTATAGTTTAAGTTCACAGCCACATGCACTTCTCAATTAATGGTTAATCAGCCTAATTAACGTCAGCTGATTAACGTTGCAAACATGACTCTTCCGTTAACATCTCTCTTCCGTTTCATAATAACATTTACTACGCAATACATAATTTTTGAATATTATCTCGCATAGTATCATTTTTAGTTCAAATTTCCGTACAAACATTTTAGTCGTAGAAAGTGCGAAATTAGAAATTTGGGCCAGAAATTTGGGCCAGTGGCAGCAGTATCTGCCAATTCTAAATCGTATTTTTGTAACAAACCGAATTATACCTTGATACTTTAATCCTATTTCAAATCCGAACCACCTCTCTAACACCCCAGATTCTCAGAAGTGAAGTGGGACCCCCTTTCTCCTCCTACTGGCAGAAGATACCATCTCGGCACAACACCGTGTATTTTAATTAAATTCAGCGTACTCGTTGATCATGTTCTAACATTTGTATAGACAGTAAAACAATGCGTAGAATTTTTGTAAAGTAAACAAAAATATATATATTATTATATATCTTCTTTATTATGAAAAACGGTATTTCTCTTGTTCAAAACCAATAAAACCCCTCTTTAAATGATAAAATTTAACATGCAATATAATAATAAATAACACATGCAATATACTAATTTACAACAATATAAATATCTTAAAAAGCCCACCCGCCGTTAAAAGTCATCCATTGCAAAGATGTCCCACACCCCTGCAGAACTTTCCGAATGGTCGTTCTCTTTATCCCCGCACAATCCGTCAGCTGTATGGATGTCAGGGGAGCCCCTATCAGGAACTCTCCTGTTATCGTGTGGTTATCAATAATCTCCACAGCTGACAGTTTAGGAAGTCGTTTGCACACGGAAGCTAACCACCATTCGGGTATATCACCTCTGCAACGCAGTTCTGTACTTCTGTTAGGTTTGAGGGTAGGCTGACAAAACTGTTTAGTGTCTGCTCCCTCCCATCACCTGTGAAGGTGACGTCCAATTTCTCCAGTTTTGGACATTCTGCTATCAGTAGCAGCACTGCATGAAGGTTACTCGACGTTATCTTCAGATCCTCTATGCGATCCAATGCCATCCTCCTCCAGAGATTGCTAACCCCCACAAGCTATTTTTTATAAACCTTGTAAACCTTATATGGATAATTATTAAATTCTCTCATTATTTTATTTAAATTTATAAAGTTATTTTTCCGAAACTCTTAGTTTTTCTCTTCTAATTAAAATTATTAATTCGACAAATCGTATGCATTGAACAATTATTATCTTGGTGTCCTTAATTGTGTGTAATGTACTATTTAGGATCGTTCTTGTTATCTTTACTACTGTATTCAGCAACTGCAAGGATACTCTAGCTGTTTGCGACACTGCTTCAATCTACGGAGCCTTATTCGTCGGAGCCTCTTCTTCCTTAGATAATTGATGTGGTCGAGGGCTCCCTCCGGTGGGGTTTATCTTTACTTTAGGTATCAGCTTCTTTTTACCTATCACTTCTCCGGTGATAGCGTTACGTTTCTGCAACCCTAACATCGTTGATAGGCATATCGGGCAGGTGTAATAGTTATCCCGAATCCTCTGACGTATACAGGTATAGCAGAATTTATGGTGACATTGCTCGGCGAATACTTTTCCTTCCATCACAATGTCCGCGAAACAAAGTATACAAAACATGTTGAAAAGTTAATAAGAGTTATATTAATTGAATGGACCCAGTAGGTGCGGCGGGTCCAGGATTGGAGGTTTGTGGGGGTCCAGCAGGGTTAGGAGGCTGAGAGGGTCCAGCTAGTAGAGGCCGTGTAGAGGCCGTATAGAGGCCGTACAGAGGCCGTATGGAGGCCATAGATTAGATGTTTTGTGTGGCCGTATTTTGCAATATTTGCAAAATTGTTTATGTAAATAATGAACAGTATCATAACAAGAATGGATTATTGAGGAACTCTGGTGTTCTTCTTGAAAGAATCCGTATTTAGTCGTAGTATCTATCAACTTTTGACAATTTTAGTCCGTATCATAAAAGGTGAGATCTACATTGACATCACCGATTAAGATAATATGTTTCCTCGGGTGCCTCTCCATGCCGTGTAGTAGGGAGTCGATGAGTTTGTTATAATTGTCAGGTTTTTTTTACGCTGGTGACAAATATATATATACATCAATTATTATCTTTGGTTGTTAGAACCAACAGAAAAAACTTACACAGTTATGTTTTTACGGAAATTCAAAATATTTCCTATTCTAATGTTTATCAACCTGATATAACAGAGGTGCGATAGATTTTGCCGCAGTTGATCCCCTAGAACGACTTCTGTAGAACGAGCTGGGAACAACTTTTATTCCTTTGGGCCCCAAACTTTGGGGCGACCTCTTGCCCTTGGACGATCTCTAGTACCATCGAAATGTGGTGGATTATTATGAGAGTCTGCATAAACAGGTCCTATGGTGGCTTTATTTAGTCGCACTGTATACAGTATAAATATTATTTAAATAAGATTGAAGACCCTACAGTCTACGTCATATTACACTATATCCCCCGGAAAGATTTAATCGATTTCGTCAATATCTCCAGGAAACAAATTCGACCAAATTCGACCAAATTCGACCAAATCCCCCTCTACCTACTAAAATCCTAAAATACTAAATCCTACACCTCTAAATAAAAATGAAAATGCACGTATAAACCCTCACGTGACTAACACTAACCCTAAAATCCCACGTGCTAACCGAACCTCACGTGTCCAATAAATGAATAAACAATACGCGCATATAAAATGCTCGTAACAACCAAATAAATTATAATTCAAATACCCCGTGATAACATCACGTAATCTCAAAATATATCCACGTGCTACACTACACGTCATACAAAATAAACTTATTAATTATAAAAACCCACTTGCTACCCTCCAGTCTCTCCTAAATTGTTTCTCCTAACTGTCCCTCCTGTTTCTGATGTTATAATCTGACTGACGAAGATGACGTGTCGTCTCCTGCCCTCTCCACTATTTGTTGTTCCATCTCCCGCATGTTCCACCAGGTGTTCAATCTCCGTCAATCCTCTACTTGGTACTCCCAGATATCAGCCCACTACTCCATCTAATGTTCAGTACGCTTAGGTACGAACATACTCTCTACTAAAATGCTCCGTACGCTTAAGTACGAACCTTCTACTAACTAACATGTCCTGTACGCTCAAGTACAACCTAACTAACTAAGATGCTCAGTACGCAATTAGGTATGAACCTATTACTAACTAAGAAATTCTGTACGCTCAGGTACAAACTAACTAACTAAATTGCTCAGTACGCTGCAATGCAACAACAAAAATGTATTTTCTCTTACAACTTAAGTCTGAGAGGGTTTCGTATGTCCTTCTTGCATCTGAACATTACATGTTTTTTAATTCAAATGCTTCTTATGTTGTTATGATCACTATTATTATTTTATTAGCACCAAGAACTCTTTTTGCGAAACTTTCCGTCTTTTTGTTTTGCGCAGTCATCTCAAGATCAGCCGGTTTATTGAATATAAAGTGACGAAGGAATTCTCGTTCTCTATACACCATAGTGCGATCCAGCTTGTGTAGCAGTATATCGCTGACTACTCGATCAAATGCCTTGGAAAAGGTCTGAGGAATAGGGCGTCCTTCTTTTTTTTGGGGACTGGCCCGTGGTACCAGCCAATGTTTATTGTTTACTCAAAAAAATAAATATAATATCAATGGTAATACGACATTCATCCCCGTGACGCCACCGTCGCATTCTGCAACCATCTGGAACACGTTTTGCAGATTACAGTCAACCTCTCGAAAACCATTCTTCTCCACACTTGGTAACTCGGTAATCTGCCGATGCACATCTGGGGCACACCTCGGGCACAAACTCGGGCACACCTGGGGCACATCTCGGGCACATCTCGGGCAAAACCACCTGGGGCACGGCTACTAACCTCACAATAATAAATGATAGATATCATTTATTATTATGATATTATTTATTACTATATGATGATAGATATCATTATTTATATTACTTATATTGGTGACAGTATTAAACTATATGTATGAGCAATATAATTTTCAGAGACACAATTTTAACTTTGTTTATATTATTTATTTATTAACGAGCAATTGAAAAATACGATTGATCTGTTCGTAATGTATTTAATAAATTCAATAGGTAAGCATTATTATATTATCAAAGTATCAATCGGAACATCTCATAACCATTAAAAACTATAAGTATTACTGTAACAGAAAGGTTCCGGTTACAGATGTCCCTGGCCACTGGTAGAAGGTTTTTCAGTGTGGGATTAATCAGCTGGAGGAGTCCATGTCGGAGAGAAGGTAGGTCAATCCTCGCTGCCTCTGCTATGCAGCGCTTCCTGCCGAAGGACTCAGATATCCCCTCTGCAGCGAGTGCCTCCTTCTTCGTAGCACCATTCCGGACACGTGCCAGGATCCTGTCGTACTTTGAAACTTCTCCATCGATGGTGAAGGTGCGTGTTGAAGGAAAAAATTGGAATGGGGAATTTCGATTTTCGAAAGGACAGAACTCATGGCGAAGGGGTTCTTAGGAGTAGACGCTATAAAGGGGTTGTTGAATGGGTCAGAGTTGCCGACCCAAGGATCTTCGTTGGATCCTAGAGCTGGCGAAGGAGTTCTTAGTGATAACACGCGACAGCAGCTCCTAAGGACAGGTCATTGTTCCTATAAGTGAAGGCAATGGTTAGTAAACTTAGGGATGTAATATAATATAATATATCATCTTAGGACTTTAGGAGTAGAATAACCTAAGAATGGGTTGTTGAAGGGTCAGAATTCAGATTTACGATTTTTTTACCCCGCGGTGGAGTCTGATCATGTACCGAAATAAATAATCATAATTATATAGGATAAATATAATAATAATAATTTA